GAGAACCTGCCTCAGCTTGTCCATGCGGCCTAAAAACTCTTCGCTTTCCTCAGGTTCGTGAACCTCACTATCCACCTCCATACCACTGGCTGCCGCGGCAGCTACCTCGCCTTCGGCTGGTGCTGCCGCCGCGGCCTCCGCGTCTCCCTCGGTGCCTTCCTTTTTCTCCTCCCCTGATTCAGCAGCGGGTACGGCCTCTGTCGCCTTCTTCTGCGGCATGTGCTTGTTGACCTCCATGACAAAGTGCTGGTGCTCTGACTCCACAAGGTCAAAGGCAATCTGGTAGGCCAGCAGAGCGGACTCATCTGACCCGCGCAAGAGGTCCTTCAACACCTCTGCGACTTGGGCCGCCTGCCAGTGTGTGCGCGTGTTACGGGGCGGGTAGGCGGTTGGTGGTCAGAGTATGTAGTGAACGGTTTCGCTGTGAAAAAGCTGTACCCTTCTTCGTGTAGTCAAGACTTGCAGGGACGCTAAGCCTTGCCTCGCACATCCGGTTCATGAATGGTGCGCTGCACGCGTTCAACTTGGGGTTGACTCTGAGCATAGAGTGCTGCAAACCAGTCGAATTCGGAAGAGACCCATCATACCAGCTGCACAACAACCGGCATAAACTGTAACAGGCACATGGCGCGTACAGATGCACGAGGCACTACAGACGCGAGACATCGGAAGTCTGAGTCTAGACGAACTTTTACGTGTATCCCTGTTTGCCAATCCCGTTACAAAACAACCCTACAGCAGGACTGTAGCGTAGCTAAGGTTGTGCGACTCCGCGATTTTCGTATCTCTCATCTCTCAAGGGGACAGCAGCATTCTCCCTTTCGACGCTTACCTCGCCCAAGAACTGGAGACACTTGCACACCGCAACATGGTCTGGTTCGGGCAGAAGGCGGTGCATGGCCACGAGGATGGCCAGCACCTTGAGCCTCGTCTGGCGGGAGGTCACCAGAGTTTGGCACACGTCGAAGGTATACTTGAGCAGGGTCGGCTTGTCGGACGCCTGCTGAATGGTTTCCTCCACCTTGTCCAACCTGTGTGCCTCTAGAGCGATCCCCATTGCCTGCGTGTACTCGCCATCCGCGTAGCATCGGTCAAACATGCGCTCGACAATGCCTTCCATTCGAGGGTCCATTTCTTCCGGAGCTTCGTCTGGTACCCCCCCGCCGATAGCAGCGGTCCGTTGAGCCGTGTATTGGTCAATGCACTTCGACACCATCGTCGACACATACTCTGTCTTGGAGGATACATCGAAGTACTCTCCGGCACCAAGGGCGAGACGAAGGGCATCGCTGTACTCCTCCAGGTGGAAAAAGCACTTGCTGGCGACTGCGGCGGCGAGCTCGCGGGCAGGAAAAGCGTCGTCTTCGCTCAGCGCTTCGATAAGGGGAACTACCGCCGCAACCTCCGCCCAGTGCTTGTCAACAACTTGGTGAAGGCGCTTCAGTGCATGTGTGCGGAGCTCATCGTCGTCCTCCTCTAGCATGGAGATCAGTCCCGAAGCTGAAAAATTCAAGATATAGCAGATAGTTGAAGAGTGAGGTGTCAACAGCAGCAGGTTCAAAGAACGTTCACGAGACATATCTGGGTTTAGGGCACGTTGGTTGCCGCCCTTCGCGAATTGCTCTCTTCGGGCAGGTAAGGCGTCAAGTTGTCGCTAACCGCGCTGATGTTGATCAACGGCCGTGACCCCAGCGAACACTGGAGATGCCTTGTGTAACAGGCGGCAGCACGAAAGCGGCGCTTCACTCTGGTGGAGCCAGGCAAACCTTGGGCCGCAACATCATGCCTCAAGGTCAAAATTGCACAGTGGATGCAACGAGATCTGCTGCCAATCACGAGGCGGGCAGGCTTACGGTAGTCAATCACCTGAGGAAGAAGGTGCTGGCGCGGCAGTCGAAGAATCCGCCGACATTGTCATTACCGCGGCCATCTCACAATCAAAAACTTGGGCAACAAATGCTCTCCACAGCAAGAAGTATGGCCCACCGCTGCACTGATAGCCAATGAACCAAGCGCGCCTCCTCCACCAATAGTACGGCAAACTTGCTGGTGTCCTTCCTCTCCTGTAGTACTACACCAGAGAGCTTTCCGAGTGCTTGCTCGCCTCTCTCGAACTCGCAAAAAATATTTTCTTGTGCAAACCCAAAAACCCGGGTGGATGGTGATTCAGTCCCCGGGGGTCCCGACGCTCAGGCACTCCCGGTGAAGCACGGACGGTGAACCTCGAATTTCTCAGCGGTAATGATAGTAGTGTATAGCAGTTCCAACCACGCCAACGTGGTTGCACTGGTCCTTAGCAATAGAGGCGCTTGTACATGAGTAAACAGATGTGAGGGAAGTACCGTAAGAGTCGGAGAGTCGGCACGGGCCGGAGAGATGGCACCGGGGTGCGATAAAAAAACCGACAAACACGATTTACCCACGGGGGTCGGTCAGATCACACCCGGTGCGATCTCTCCGACCCCCAAAATATTTTTATTGGTTTGTATGGAAGTTGCCAACCGTACACTCAAACCAAACACACAACAGCAAGCTGCACCCTACCCCACCTTACACAACCAGAAGTATTCTGCGTACGTACGTACTCTGGTATCCGTAGAAGAAGACCGCAATGAAAGCGGGAACAAATTGATACCGTGTGTACTGGTACACCACCCCAGATAGATAGATGATGCGCTATTTCGCCGCTTTTTTCGGGGTACACGGTATAAATCATCAGTGTATAGACTTAAAAAGACTCGAAATAAGTCCAGTACCCAGCCGGTTTCCCTCCACTCACTGAAAAGACTCCACCACATCCCGTTCGACTGTGGGTATATCTCGAATGGGTAGTCTTTCTGTGTGGGTTTTTATTATTCCTTAATGTATGTTGTGTGTGTGTTTCGCCGCCTTTTTTCCGGCTCAGATATGCATGCATGCGTGTGTGTGTGCAGAAGACCGTGTGCGTGCGTGGGTACCTACACTGGACAATCAATACTATATGGCAACGGTCGGGGAGATGTCAACGGGGTGCGTGCATACAACACCTGTTGTGTGCATTTCATCAGGGATCGTACCGGTCGGAGAGATCGCACCGGGGTGCAACACCTGTCTGTCTGTCTGTGTGTATTTACTTCATCGGGGATCGCACCGGTCGGAGAGATCGCACCGGGGGTGCCTTGAAAATTCTAAACGAAATGATTTAATTGCATTTCCGCACCGGGGTCGGAGAGATGGCACCGGTCGGAGAGAGGGCACCGGGGTGCGATAAAAAACCCGAGGAAAAAACATTAAAAAAACGATCGCACCCGGTGCCGACTCTCCGACTCTTCTTACGGTAAACATGCTTATAACCAAGATCCTCGTTCCTTCTCAGGGACATTCATGAGGATCGGAGATATATCGGGGGTGCGACCATGTCGTAGGAGAGTTACATGTACAAGCAGAGCGTGCGAGCCGCGTCTTACGATTGATTGAAATGAACACCTAAAAATGCCTTCGTCATTATTACGAATGACACAAATAATTATGGTAGGTAGTAGACTACTACTACTACTATAGATGATAGGGTCCGGAGATAAGAAACATCAATATCGGGTCGAGCCTAATTTATTTTCCTGCCTGATGGGTGGCCTGATGGGTGGGCAGAAGGAGCTACAGGCCGAAGTCTGCAAAACAGATTTTTCTTGTTCCTGTCGCATATTCTTATTTCTGGCGAAGAAAACAACAACACACCACCAAGCCTTCACGCAGCCCCCTTGTTGCTTTTATCTTGGGATATCGCACAATCATGTTTCTTATTGGCACATTTCGTCCTCGACAGACGTTGGGGAGATTGTACCTTTCTTTATGAAGGTGGTCTCCACATTACCCCCCCCTTTTTGTAGACTTCTTCTTGTTTGCTAGGCAAGAGAAGTCTTCTTGGGGTAACCGGAACCCGACCGGATGGCGGCGGGGCGATTCACTTTTTCTTCACAATCCTCTGTGCGTGATTTCACGGGTTCGCTACGTCCGCCACGTCATCAGAAGTTCCGAGTTCGATAGCCAGTGCGTCCTTCTTTGGCCTACCCACGGTTTTTCTTTTTCCGTTGTCCGGAAGAAATTTTGGTGAGCAGCGGGTTTTGAACCCGTGACTTTTACAACCCGTTACATGTCACGTCGAATCGTCCTCGACAGACGTTGAGGAGATTGTACCTTTATGAAGGTGGTCTCCACAGTTTCTTACGTTGTTGTTGTGGCCGAGATTGAGCTAGCTGTGTTTGCTTAAGTCCATTGTCATAAAAGAATAGTTTAACTTACTCTTATTTTCCGAAAGAATATGATGAGCTTTATCTTGACACAAGTAATTGGGTGTATCTGTAGCATACCAGCAGTGTATCAACAAGACCAAGGAAGAGTTTGACAGTATTGTAGTAGTCTACTGCTGCTGCTGAGTGTGTAGCCGATATGTCTGGCCCCTGTGCTACCCGACACTTCATGTTTCAGTTTCTAACACTAGTTCATGTCTGTATAGATATGCCCACACAAATCTCTCTGTCTCTCTTTCTGCCGATCAGGCGTACGGACAAGCTAGACTACAGTCGTTAACGCGAGGCGGCCGGAAGGCGACCGGTTCTCGTATGCTGAGCAGGCTCTTTTTTCCATCCCCAATTTGATCTAGGCGACTACATTCTGGAAAATAGTTACACGTTAACGCACTACAACCAGCTACAGGAGGAATTCTCTGCCTCTCCTACGGTGTTTGCCTTCGATTTTTTCGAGAAGGGTTCAGCAACCCCTGCCTCTAATATGTGCGTACATACTCACGAGTCTGCGCTACTTGTACAGAGTAAACATGATTTCGCCATCGGATTCGTTCAAATACCCGGCAGTCCATTGTGGTATGCAGCCTCGCTCCCCTCCCGAGGAAAACGCCAATCTCAGATAAGAGCATGTGCACGACGTCGCATTCGGTCACCCCCGGGGTCGAACGCAGAGACCAATCACTTGTGTGTTGTAAGAGCAAAAGACGGGGCGCAAATGTGCAGTTGCTGGCTCAGTTGGCATGTCTCACTTGATGTCCGACATCCGCAGCTTTGCGCTGCGCTGCTCCACTACAGGCAGGCATGCTCCTTTCGCTTCTTTACTCAATTTCGGAGCCACGATCCCCTGGCAATCGTTTTCTACGACGTACTTCTACACTGTTGTCGCCTGATGATCAGTATGGGTTACTTGAGCTGCAATGGTGTGCAGAACAATCGCTGCCACAAAGCTTGGTCGCGCATGAGTGAAAGAAACGCTTAAGCATGAACGGCACCACCGCCAGATCGTGTCGCCAACACATGATCCAACTACATGCAGCGCGTCAATTCATGTAACGGATCCCCCATGAGTACATGTTTATGCTATTT